CCACTGCTGACTATCCATCCCTCTATTTGCTTTACTAGTTCTTCTCCTCTTTTCCATCGCCTTAAAGTAAGTGATGCTCAGAGTTCTACCCAGTGCTTTTTTATTTCTTTTGTACATACCTGTTCCTTTCCATGGTCTTACCAATGCCCATTAAACTCTCATGAGCTCTAGCACTCCTGGTCCTGGCCTTGTCCTCCTATGGACTTTTGTTCACAACCAATCTGTGACAGCAGGGGCCAGCTCACCTGATGAGGTAAGGTTTAAAAGAGTCCTGACTTCAATGTAGACCCAAAGAAGTGAGCAAGTCTTTATGCCTTAGGCCCTGGGGATACGCTGCTGTAGTGTGGCTATAGTTTGTTCCCTACCCAAGCTTGGCCCCCAGTGTGATGGTTTGGTATGGTGGAACCTAGTGGAAGGTAATTAAGTCATGACATACCTGATTTTGTTTGGTTTCTGAAAAAAGTACTTCAAAGCTTCAATGGATTCCCATTCTTTTGGAATAATAAATATAATCTTGGTACTCAAAGTGTATCCCTAGGTCTTGTTAGAAATGCAAAATTTTAATTGCCATCCTGGACCTATTGATCCTGAATCTACATTTTAACAAGAGTTCTATAAAAGTACAAAAAGCCCTTTCTTATCTTTTTTTTTTTTTTTTTTTTGTTGTGGGGGTGCTACCAGGGATTGAACTCAGGGGCACTTGACCACTGAGCCACATCCCCAGCCCTATTTTGTATTTTATTTGGGACAGGGTCTCACTGAGTTGCTTAGTGCCTTGCAGTTGCTGAGGCTGGCTTTGAACTTGTGATCCTCCTACCTCAGCCCTGAGCCACTGGGATCACAGGCATGTGGTGGCACATGGCACAGATAGTCCTTTCTTCAAGGCCTCCTGTGGTCTGCTCCTCCTTCACTTGTAGCCTTCTCATGTTGTGCTTTTTCCCTGGCTTATTGTGCCCCTGCCTCTGATGATCTGATGACCTCCATTCTGTCTCCTCATGTTTTATGCTCCTCCTCACCATAGGGTCTGGTCCCTGCAGTTCATACCATCTGGAATGTTCTTCCCATCATCTCCTTGCTTGCTCCTAGTTGATTCTTTCAGACTCTTGCTCAAATGTCATTTGAAGAAAGCCTCTTGACTCCCATACCAGGACCAAGACTCCTTATATACTTGCATGATCCCTTTTGCTTTTCCTTTAGAGCACCTAATGTACATTTTAATTATATATTTATTTGTGTCAATATTTAGTGAATGCACATCTCTCTTCCTAGGTTACAAATTCATGAAAACAGAGATGTCTGTTTCAGTAATCCGACAGAAATATCTTTTTGGCATATCTTTGTGTTCTTCATAACTTAGTACAGTGCCTGGAATATAATCAATATTCAAGAAAATGTATTCCTTGCCACCTTTGTTCAGGATATACTTAGAGTGCATATTCATTCAACAAGTATTTATTGTGTATCTACTATGTGCCAGGCCCTGTGCTAGATGGTGGATATATATGAAAGCAAAACCAGACAGTGTTTCTTCTCTTGTGGCACTTACAGTATAGTGGGGTACTATGGTTGTTACTGCTGTTGACCGGTGATGAGTCCTTGCTTCCCCAATGTTGAAGAATAACACCAGAGAAGCATGCCGAGGCAAGGTCAGAATAGAAATTAGAAGTTTATTAAAGGACAGCAGAAAAGACTTCTCCCTCTCGGAGGAAGAAGGGGACCCAAGAGATGGAATCTGTGGGAGTGTGGTTGTCTCTCCATTTTATAGTTTTCGGTGATGGAATGTAGGTGGGAAGGCCCGAGGGTGGGACACAGGTGGGCCAAAGGAGTAATCTGGTCAGGAAGGACTTCATTATCACTTCTTTGGGATGGGCTATCTTCAGATCTGCTGGGGGTTGTTTCCTGGACTTTATTAACATTTCAAGAGTTGCTCAACTTTTCCGGGAATTCATCCTCATGGCCTCCATTTTAGATTTCACTCGGTATTAGACCCGATTTACCTAACTACACTGACTACCTAACTTTAAATCTGGCTTCATGGTTTGGGTCTAGAATGTCCTCCCCAAATCTCATGTTCAAAGTATGGTCTTCAATGCAGCAAAATTCAGAGGTGGAGCTTTTAGGCAATGATTGGGTTATGAAGGTTTTGACTTCATCAGTGGATTAATCCACTTGGTGGATTATTGCGCTGATAATGGACTACTGAAAGGTAAGATCTAATTGGAGGAAGTTCCTACCTGAGCGCATAGAAATATCGTCTCTCCTGCCCTTTCATTTCTCTCTCTGTCCTTTCTGGCTCCCACTAGCTGATGGCTTTACTCCTCAATACACTTCTACCATGATATAATACTGCCTTGGAGTCAGAAGAACATGGACTGAATCCTCAGAAACTGTAAGCCAAAATAAATCTTTCCTACTCTAAGTTGTTCTTGTCAAGTAGTTTGGTCACAGCTATGAAAAGTTGATTAAAACATGAAAGGAAGAAATCCAATAATAGCAAATAAACTAAGACAAACAGGTATAAAATAAGGGTAGTATTACTATGAACATTCATGAAATCTGTTCAGAGATATTTTCTTTCCATGGCTACCTAATATAAAACCCCAAACTGACAGGTACTTTTCTTTTTAAAAACATCTTTGAGATATAATTCATATAAAATAAAATCCACCCATTTAAATTATAAATGCCCATGGGTTTTTGCATATTCACAAATTTGTTCAACTATCACTACTAATTTTAGAATGTTTTTTTTTTTTTGCCCCAAAAAGAAAGCTTGCTTCCATTGGCCATCACCTTCATCCTTCCCAGCCACTAATTGACTGTCTCTCTGGGTTTGCCTCTTCTGGACATTTCATATAAATGGAGTCATAAACTAAATGCTGTTTTGTGATTGGCTTCTTTCATTTAGCCTATTTTTCAACACTTAGCCAATGTGCAACATGTATTAGTACTTTTATTTATTTATTTTTATTGATGAATAATATTCCGTTGTACCATGTATTTTTCTTAGCACAGCCAGAAACAGGATGCTGGTCCACATTTTTCTCCAGAGCCAACAGATTCAGTTTGTCTTTTTTCCAGAAAAAGGTGACAGTAAGTTAATGTTGGCTGATCCTTACAGGGGTGGCAGCCGTGTTTAGAAAACTGCTTTTCATGAGTGATCTTATTCACTCAGTTCTCTAAAGTCTATTTAGTATTTCTGACTCACAAGAGGGAAGTGATTCTATTTTAGCATTCTTTTTCTCCTGCTTGGTCTCTTTTGACTTGCTGTGTTAAATTATGCAAGTCACTTAAACTCTGTTTATTTAACTCCTGCGTGCTCTGTAAAATAAGCCCAGTTCAGGCTGCTTGTTTGCCAAGGCTGTTTGGAGACAATTTTTCATATGATATGCATCATCAGCTCCCACAGAAGGCAAAAGGAATTTGATGTGTGGGGGTAGTCTGGGATCTAGTCCAAAATTAGTGCTCATCTGGAAGAAATATGGAAGCCTGATACTCGTCTCCTCACTTGCTAGCCTTTTATTTGTTTTCACTTATTGTCCTCCCTTTGAGAAACTTTGTAAATCTCTGTTTTGTGATTTTTTTTTCTTTATGAGATCACCTTAAAAAAAAAAGATTGCAGTAAAAAAGCCTTCTGGGATTCTTTGTTGACCAACTGTGAATCAAAGGGAGTAATTTGTCTGACCTAGTTTTGTGACCTGGGAAGAATTACCCATAACTTTCAGAATTTGTCCCCCTCCTCTCTCCTCTCCTTTTACCCTGAACTGACCTCAGCTTGGGATGTAAAATCCAGTTAGATTTAAAATACCATTCATGCAATATGCAAATCCTTGCTTTCAAAGGCTTGTAGTCTGGTAGAGAGATAGGGAGTAAGTGCCAAGAGGGGCAAACCCTAGATGTTCAGGGAGCAGAAACAATAGATTTCTGCTACGTGGAGAGAGAGGCATGGTTTTGAACTGTGTCTTAAGGGGTAGTTAAAACTTTCAAAGGCGGCATGCAAAGGAAATAGCTTGTAAATGTTCCCAGGGGGCGTCCTTGGGGGTGGGGAGGTGCACAGCAGTGGTCTCAGGTGTAAAGGCAGCTGTGAACAATAAACCTGAGCAGGTAGAATGGAGGCCTTGAACACTGGACAAGGGAATCTGTTCTTGATAATTTGAGCAAAAGGAAGTCAATGAAGGTTTCTGGCAAGGTGTAAAACAAAACTGCCCTTAAGGACAATTAACTCGCCTGGAGCATGAAGGATGGACTCCACAAGAGAGATTTCAGACTGGGAGACTTAAGCAGGAGGATGGTATAATAATAGTCCAGCCGGGCAGAGGCACTAGAAAGTACGTGACCGACCTCTACAACAAGGTCTGAGGTCTAGATGTGAGGAAGGCTCGGGGTGCACGGGTCAGGACAGAACTACTTGGAAAGGAGACTGGGAAGAGCCAAAGTTATAGACACACTCTTCAGTGACGACGGGTGGTCGTCCGTGGTCCCCGATTGGCTATCCCGGCCGCCAGTCCCGGGAAGGGGTGGCGCCCTGTCCCCGCCCGCCGGGGGCTCCTAGAGAGGCGGGCGCGGGCTGAGAGCCGGGAGAGCCCGGGGAGCCCGGGAAGCCCGGGATCAGGCGCAGCCGGCAGGGACATTGGGTGCTGCCACCGGGGACCCGCAGCAGAGGTAAGCAGAAGGGAAGTACCCGGAGCCGGGGGACGACCCCCGCGTCTCAGCCACTCCGGGATCCCCGCCCCCTCGGGAGCGCGCCGTCCGGGGGGCTCCTGGAGCGGAGGATGGGGACCGCGGGCCGAGCCGGCGGCTGGGATCCCGGAGGATGGAGCGGCTGGCGCAGCTCTAGACCCCAAGTCTCCCGCTGCAGCCCGGGTCTGCCCCCAGGTCTGGGTCTCTTCTGCAGGGGTGGGTTGGGGGCGGTGGCCTGCACCCCTACGTCCCCTGGGCTCCTGTGACGTTTTGTTTGAAAACCCAGAGCCCGGGTTTCTGGCCCTGCGCCTGTGGTCCTTGTGGGCACAGTGGGGCCCCAGGTTAGAGATGCCCCCGCAGTTAGGGATGCTGCGGCTTGGCTTCGGCTTCTGGGGAGCCCCACTGTGATCTCCCGGGAGAAACTTCTCAAAACTTTAAAGAGCCATTTTCTACACCTCGAGTTGCCGGGACGTCAAAGTGCCCTAAGGTGACCTACCATGAAACTACGCTGTCCCCGAAGTCAGTAGACCACTTTTTTAAAAGATGGAACATTTTAGCCGTGGTATTCTGAGCGCGAGACACTGTGAGAAGAGAAGTCGAACCATTTGTGCTGTGAAAGCACTAGTGCTGGGCTACCTGCGGGTCACTACTTTCTTTGTGAAAATTCCTGTCTTTGCAAGTCTGGACCGCACCGCTCAGTGCGTGCCTGAGGAGTGTGGGGCGAGGAGCAGGCTGTTTGGGGCAGTGCCACCGAAGGGCAGGCGTGGCCGAAGTGGGGCTAGGTGGTGGCGGTAAGGTTCTTTAAACAAGGCATGTCTCAGTCTGGTCAAGAAAGGCATCTTTTCTGCTAAAAAGAAAAAAAAGAAGAGCACAGTTACCTGATCCAGTTAAGCTGTCTCTTAAGAGAAGAGAACTAAAGAATGTGAGAGGTTAACCCTGAACTCCATCAGAGTAAACCAAAGGAGATGAATCTTTCCTTCTGGGGTTTTGTAAGAGAAACAGGAAGTCAGAGATTCAGAGAAAAGAGCATTCATTCCACAATTGTAAACAGTTTATTTTGTGTCAGTATGTATTTTCAAAAGTTATTGAAGGTATTTGGAAAACTCAAGACTTTTTCTTGTCCCCTGCAGAGAAGATAGAGCACTTTCAGATTCAGGATTTATATATATATATATTTTAAGTAATTGGTTAGAGCCCCCAAATGGTATAGTTCTATAACATCAGTGGTAATATTTTTTGTTCATAGAATTCTTAAATACTCAATATGGTGCATTAGTGCAAGCTACTTCTGTACTTTTATACACTGATATTATAGAATGAAATGGGGAAACCAGGTGTCTAGATCTCAGTGTGGACCAATCTGAAGCTTTGAAAAAAATTTTTTCTGTTGGTATTGAAGATTGAATCCAGGACCCACACATGCTGGGGAAGTGTTAACATGGAGCTACATCCCCAGCCCCTTTAAAAAATATATATTTTTATTTCAAGAGGTGGGGGGTCTTACCAAGTTGCCCAGGTTGACCTAGAGCTTGGTAGTCCTCCTGCCTCCCTAGTAGCTGGGGTTATAGTCTGTCTTCACTGCTTCTCCTGCAGTTTTGAATTTTTTTTTTACTATGACCCAATTAAAATGGAATGCAGATATTAAGTGCCAATATAATAAAATTCTTAAAGCATTACTACCTCATTGTAAAATACATAATTAGCATAACTGAAAAATAGGTGTGTTTAGTTTTGATGTTATTTGTTGTGTCTTTTTTTCATAGCAAAGTGTTTTAGATAAGCTATATGCATGATGCTTTTATTTTTGAAGTTAAGTTACCCTTTTTTAAAAAAACTTTTTTTAGTTGTAGATGAACACAATACCTTTATTTAGCATTTTTTTATGTGGTCCTGGGGATTGAACCCAGTGCCTTATGCATGCTAGGCAAGCGCTCTACCACTGAACCACAACCCTGGCCCAACAGTTACCTCTTAATTATTTGAGTTAATGGTGACATTCTTGGAAGAGATAATAACCACATATAATGAATCATTAAATGATCTATTTGTAAATGTGTTTTTAGTGTACATCCACTTAAACTACTACTTTTTCTTTATTTGTTCATAAATTTGTGCTTTTTATCTAGATGTAATTCAGAAACCTTAAAATTTACCCTTCTAAAACTGTGCAATTCAGTGATTTTTAGTATATTTTCAAAGTTGTGCAATCATCGCCACAATCTAATTCTAGATTATTTTATCACACCCCCAAAGAAATCCCAGTCCCCATTGCCCTTTTATCATAGCCCCTGAGAACCACTAATTGCTTTCTGTCTCTCTCTCTGGTTTGTTTCACTTATAATAATGTTTCAAGGTTCATCCATTTTTATAGGCTGTAGTGGTATTTAATTCCTTTTTGTATCTGAATAATATTCCATTGTTGTTTATATCACATTTTGTTTATCCATCCACTTGAGGGTGGACACTGGGTTGTTTCCTCTTTTTGGCTTTTATGATAGGATGTTATAAATATCTGTGCACAGGTTTTTGTGAGAACCATGTATTCAATTCCCTTGGCTCTATACTTCATATTGGAGTTGCTGGGTCATAAGGTAACTAAACTTTGGAGGAACTGTTAAACTATTTCCAAAGCAACTGCAATATTTTTGCAATACCACTAGTAATATATGAGGGTTCCAATTTCTTCACATTCTGACCAACAATTGTTAGTATATGTTATTTTTCATTTTATCTATCCTATTTGGTATGAAATAGAATGTCCTTATGACTTTGATTTTTCACTTTCCTGTATAGTGAATGATGGTGAACATCTTTTCATGTGCTTATTGGCCATTTTTATCTCCTTTGGAGAAATGTCTATTCAGATACTTTGGCCATTTTTCAATTGGGTTGTCTCTTTTTACTGCTGAATTGTAGAGTCCTTTATATCTTCTGGACACAAGCCCCTTATCAAGTACATGATTTGCAAATATGCCGTCTCCCTCTCCATTTTGTAATTTTTTTAACTTTCTTGATTGTGTCCTTTTAAGCTCCAATTCTTAAATTTTTTAAAAAAATTTTAAAGATATTGATGGATCTTTATTTTATTCATTTATATGTGGTGTTGAGAATCAAACCCAGTGCCTCACACATGCTAGGCAGGCGCTCTCCCACTGAGCCACAACCCCAGCCAACAATTTTTAAATTTTGATGAGGTCTAATTTATCAATTTCAGTTATTTGTTCTTTAGAACATATCTAAGAAACTATGCCCTGGTTCAAGCTCCTGAAGATTTATACCTGTTTTCATCAAAGAGTTTTAGAACTTTGGCCCTTACATTTAGGTCTTTGATCCTTTTGGGGTTAATTTGTGTATATGGTATATGAAGTAAGGATTCAAATTAATTCTTGTGCATTTGGGCATCCAACTGTCTAAGCATTGTTTGTTTAAAATACTATTCTTTCTCCCATTGAGTTGTCTTGATACCCTTGCCAAAAGTCAGTTGAGTGTAAAGGTGAAATTTTATTTCTGGATTCAACTTTATTCCATAGACCTATATATTATGTCTATCCTTATGCAAGTATCCTGAAGTCCTATGATTTGTGACTTTGCAGTAAGTGTAGAAAGTTAAATGTGTGAGTCCTTAAACTTTTAAAAAATTATTTTGGCTATTCTAGGTCCCTTGAATTTCCTTCTAAATTTTTGGATTAACTTGTTTCTGCAAAAGAAATAGTTGCACTTTTTGAAGAGATTGCATTAAATATGCCATCTTCACAGATTCAGTCTTCCAATCCATGAGTATGCAATTTCTTTCATTTATGTAGATCTTTAATGGCTTTCATGGATTTTTTGGAGTTTTCAAAGTACAAGTCTTGCAAATTTAGCAAGTTTTGTATTTTATTGATTTTGATGATAGAGTAAAGGGTACATTTTCTTAATTTAGGTTTTGAATTTTTCCTTGCAAGTATACAGAAGAACAGTTGATTTTTTTATATATTGATTTGGTTTCCTGAAATCTTGCTCAACTCACTATTCCTTAGAATAATTCTAAGGAATCATGCATGTCATCTGCAAATGGAGATAGTTTTACTTTCTTTCCAACCTGGTTGCTTTTTATTTTGTTTTCTTGCCCTTTCTAGTACCAAGTTGAAATGTTGAATAGAAGTAATGAAAGCAGACATCCTTGTCTTGTTCATGACTTTATTGGGACAACTTTCAATAATTTACCAGTGTGTATGATGTGAACCGTGGGCTTTTTATAGATGTCATTTATCAGGTTGGGGAAATTTCCTTCTTCTTATTTCTGAGGAGGGGGTGGGCGGTGCTGGGGATTGAACCCAGCACTGTGCTATATACCAACTGTGCTATATTCCTAGCTCCAAGGGAGAAATTTCCTTCTATTGCTGGTGTGTTGAATGCCTTTATTATGGGGGCTGTGTATTTTCTTTAGCGTTTTTATGAGTTGTTGAGATGATTGTGTGGTTTTCATATGGTATATTACCTTGATTCATTTTATTAATTTGCTGAGAAATATGTACTCCTTATGTTATTTTTGACTGTAGGCTGGGAATGTAGCTCAGTGGCAGAGGACTTGCCTTTCATGAGCAAGGACCTGGGTTCTTTCCCTAACACTCCAACAAACAAAACAAAATCTGTAGCCATTTTACACTAGAACATAAACAAGGGGGTATAAATGGAGATCAAGATTTAACCAGCATGAAATAGACTTCTAGTTGCTTAAGACAGAAAAGTGTCCCTACATTTCTGCACAATTGTATGAATGGATCAAGAATTAAGGATGGCTGTTTCATGACTGCTTTTTATTTTTTAATATTTCATCCATATTTTCTTTCCCTGTCTCTTTTAAAGCTAATAATGAGAGAAATCAAATAGTAGAATGATAAAAAGTTTGCGTTTGGCAAATTACATTTCTACTCCTAAAGCATCAATGCTGAAGTGAATCATTAATAGTAAATGCTAATATGGGAAATGAAAAAGATTATTTACAAGGCTAATATTCTAAACAAACAAACAAACAAAACATGGATAAAACAGCAAAGCAAAGACACAAAGAAACAAGAAGAGAATGACGTCAGCTCTACCATGATGAACTTTCCTTAAACTATAGCTGGGATTGAAAGGTATCTGGAGGCTTTCACATGGTGGGATACTTTTAATAAAAGTTGTAGCCTTCGTAGAACAATTCTGCTTGTATTTATTTGTTTCTAAAAGATTGAGTGATAATGTCAGTAGTAATATTTAAAAAGTACATTATGCATAAACCAATACTTATGCTAAGAAAATCTTTCAGTGGGATTTCATTAGCACATAGTTTTTTAAAAGTTGGTATAGATTTAGGGAGGGGGATAAATGACACTAAATACTAGGAATAAACTTGGTTGTATTTTTATAAAATAAAAGAATAAAATAACATTTTTCAACTTCAGGACCCTCCAGGGGTAACATGCTCCTCATGTCTGGGGTTTGGCTCTGCAGGAGATCCATTCCTAATGCAAATTTTATCAGTTCATAGCAAGGACAATTCAGAAATATATTATTTAAACCTTTTATTTTAATAACTCAATAAAACATTAACAATGGGCTGAGGAGGTACCTCATTGGTAGAACATTTGCCTAGCATGTGTGAGGCTCTGAGTTTGATTCCCAGCACTGAAAAAAAGAACAACATTTAAAGTTGCTTTTATGAATCTCAGAGCCAGAAACAATCATGCTTAATGAAGTAACACCTATTTAAAAACCAGTTCCCTGGCCTCTTGTCTTCCTCCCTATAGTGTTTCTCCTCCAAAAGGAAAGTTAATATCATGGAAAATACTGAGTCCAGATTAATGTAGATGATTCCAAATTTCGTATTTATAGGTTTTCTCTTCTTACTCCAATAAAAATTATGCACACTTGTCAGGATCATAACTTACCTAGATAAATATGCCAAAGAATTTCTGACTTGAAGGATAGCCTGGTCTTGGACAAATTCAGAGTGGTGCTAAGTAATAATTTTAGAACAAATCTAATATATATTTGTAGCACTGGTATGGTGTTTCTTTTATGTTATTTTATTATGCTACCAATTGAATCAAACTGTGATACTTCTGTAAATTTAAGAGTGTGGTAAAATTATAAGCTATGGATTTTAAAAATCTATCTGTTGGACAGAGTTAAAACAATAATAGTACTCTGTGCTGTGCTATTATACTATCCAGAGTTCTGTTAGAAACAGCAAATATTTAATTTGTTCCTCACAATTTACCAGTGAGGAAGGATAGTTTGTGATTGTCAGCATCTTTCTTTTTCCAGATTGTGTAAACAGACACTAAAAGAGAATTAAAATCATGGCATTTGCAGGTAAATGGATATAGTTGGAGAGTATCATGCTAGTGAAGTAAGCCAATCCCAAAAAACCAAATGCCGAATGTTTTCTCTGATATGTGGATGTTGATCCATATTGGGGATGTCTGGGGGAGCATGAGAGGAATGAAAGAACTTTCAATAGGGCAAAGGGGAGGGAGGGGAAGGGAGGAGGCATGGGGGTAAGAAAGATGGTGGAACGAGATGGACATAATTACTCTATGTATGGAGACATGAATGGTGTGACTCTACTTTGTGTTCAACCAGAGACATGAAAAATTGTGCTCTGTATGTGTGCTATGAATTGAAATGCATTCTGCTGTCCTGCATAACAAATTAGAATAAATAAATACATATTTTTTAAAAAAGAAGCTGAATTTGAGGAGCTGGGATTGTAGCTCAGTGGTAGAGTTCGTATCTAGCATGTGTGAGTTACTGGGTTCAATTCTTAGCACTGCATATAAATAAATAAAATAAAGGTCCATTGACAACAACTTAAAAAAAAAAAAAAAAGGTAAGTAACACAGTGGGGCTTCCACCCCTGGCCTCCTGTCTCACTCAGTTCTTTCCATAAAATACACCAGCTTCTGGAATTTATCTTAGAATTTAAAACTTGTGGCTGGATATCATTAGATGGGTGCATTGGGTGATTTAATGGATTATCTTTTTTTTTAATATTTATTTTTTAGTTCTCAGGGGACACAACATCTTTGTTGGTATGTGGTGCTACCGCTTGAGCCACATCCCCAGCCCTTAATGGATTATCTTAAGTGCTAATGTTATGCTGTTTGAATGCTTTCTTTTTTAGAATAATTATGGCAGAGCCTTCTGATCCAGAAGGACCAATAGATTGGAAAGAGCGATGCGCAGCTCTGGAGTCTCAGCTTATGAAATTTAGAGTTCAAGCAAGCAAGATACGAGAGCTTTTAGCAGACAAGGTAAGCTTTTCTCTCTAGCCTTTGTTACTAAGTATCAGCTACTCTGGGCCCTTTTCATGTATAACTGAATAAACTCAGTACTTTTGGGGTTAAGCCTTTTGTAAAATAGTATAATTTAACTATTTGCCAAGATTTGAAGCTACATTTGGCATATTCTTTCTCCACTGTTAGGGTAAATTGGGCAGTGGATGAAAAACATTTTATTTGCAAATATCAGTGGAATATGTGAAAATTGTGTAAGTTTAATGAATGTGACATTCATTCATTCTGGAGAGAAAAGTAGTTCATTTGATTTTGCTAGTGGAATTTAATAGCATTTTAAATTGCTAAATATTTAAGAATGTCATTTTAAAGTGATTATAGAATACAAATCCCTATTGGCAGTAAAATGTGTTTATAATGTATTTGAAAAGTATGTACCTGTTTGGAAATTTGTGCTTATTAACTGTATATCATTAAACTATTATTGAGACTAGAATTGAGTTTAATATAATTATATGTTTTTCTAATAGTTCTAATAATGCAATTAGAATTTTGTGTCACAGGAATTTTGTTTTTGAAAATATGTATATAAACCCAGTACATTCATTCACTCAATCATTTAACACATATTTTTTGAGGGCTAGTTATGTGCCAGACATGGTTCTTTATGTCACAATTACATATGTAAACAGGACAGCCTATGTTTTTGATTCCAGGTGATCTGGATGTTAGATCTGTGCTGTCCATATTTGTTCAATATGAAAGTCACTAGCCACATATGGCCATTGAACATTTCAGATGAGGGTAGTTCACATAGAAACATAAATACACACCAGATTTCAAGGATTTAGTATGAAAGAAAGTAATTTATCTCAGCAATAATTTTTATATGGATTATGTTGAATACTACATTGGCTATTGGGTTAATTGAACAATATTAATTTAATTTTACCTGTTATTTTACTTTCTAATGTGTGCACTAGAAAATTTTAATTATGCATATGGCTCACATTATATTTCTAGACAGTCCTGGATATATATTTGGATGAATGATATCTGTAGTCAGTCAGAACTCAGCAGAAGAATTTCCAGGTGGTTTCTTAAACCCTAGACCACATAATCTTTTGGGATAGATACTGGTACCCATATCACATCTCCAAACAAGGTCTTAAATCTTCATTGTTGGTCAAGAATCTCTGAGAAGTAATTTAATAAAATACAGTGAATCATCATACCATTTATACTTTCTTATATATCTTCTTAAATTTTTGTATTTTAAAATCTTTTCGATAGAAAGACTAAGGTTATCCTATTCACTTTGGGTTAATGATAATCCAGTCTTTGAAGAATAAATCCCCAATATCAATGTGCTCTACTGCTATTAGAATAAATTATAGCTCAGAGAAGAAAATCTCAGTTTGAATATCTCCAAATAGGGAAAACTTATCTTAAGTCAAGGTTAAAGACTAATCTTTGTCTTTTGCTCTTTATATATGTCCTCTCCTGTGTTGTGCTGTGATTTATCTAGTATTTTCCACAACCCCAACCATTCATATAATTATTTTGTCTAGATCCACCAATTAAATCCTGCTAGATCTTGTGGACACTTGCCAATTGTTGCCTTGGCCTCTGAGCAGTTGACTTTGCTGACCACAACCACCTCCTCAGAATTTTCTTGACTTCTCTACTGTCTTAGTCTACATATGGACTAAATAAAAATTCTGCTCATTTGGGTTTCAATTAGTTGACTTTTAAATTTTGTGGCAACATTTGTTCTGTTCTTTAGAAAGCACATTGCAGCAAGTGTCTCTCTGATTGCCCATCTTTTTATTTTTAAAAATTTTTTAGTTGTCAGTGGACCTTTATTTTATTTATTTATATGTGGTACTGAGAATTATTTTTTCTTTTTTAAAAATTTTTTTAGTAGTTGTAGATGGACAGAATGCCTTTTTAAAAAGTATTTTTTAGTTGTTGATGGACTTTTATTTTATTTGCTTATTTATATGTGGTGCTGGGAATTGAACCCAGTGTCTCACACATACTAGGCAAGGGCTCTACCACTGAGCTACAGCCCCAGCCCCTGAGTGCCCATCTTTTAAATTATAAAAATGGTGTTTTCTCTGTAGGTAAAACCATACATAGCTTTTTTATATATTTATTTTTTAGTTGTAGTTGGACTTAATACCTTTATTTCACTTATTTATTTTTATGTGATGCTAAGGTTCGAACCCAGGGTCTCACAAGTACGAGGGGAGCACTCTACCACTGAGCCACAACCCCAGCCCCCATAAATGGCTTTTTAAAAGTATTTTGTTTTAGCTGTAGATAGACACAATATTTTTATTTATTTATTTTGATGTGGTGTTATGGATTGAAGTGCCTCACGCATAGAGGCAAGCGCTCAACCTCTGAGCTAAAACCCCAGCCTCATAGATAGCTTTCTGATTACCAATCTTTAGGCTATTAGTTTTAATATTTTCTTTGTCAGTAAATGAGTACTCAAGAGGAATATTATTTTAAAATTCCTGTTTTAGTTGTTTTTTTCTTTCTTTTTTGTCTGTATTTCATATCTGTAACTTGAATCCTTTGACAGATCTAAGAGATGGAATTATTCAGATGCATTTTCCATATTGGAAAATGGATAAGTATGCCAAGTTTCTCATGGTTTCCTAGTAATATATTCAGCATTAAAATGGGAGTAAGGATTCTCACAATACTTTGTTAAATTCCATTATGAAATATTTTCCCAAGTTTAAAATTTCTTTTTGGTATCCACCCATATTTTAAGGAAAATAGCTAGTATTTATTGATTTATTATGTACTCAGCACTTTATAGGTTTAATTTACTTAATTTGTCTAATCACTTGTGAGGTAATAAATTTAATTGTCCCCATTTTATAGATTAGGAAACTTATGCTTCCTCTGTGCTAGGAATTCTTCAAAGTGACACACACACACACACACACACACACACACACACACACACACACACTTTTAATACTTTCAACAATCTTATGAGGTAGATACTAACGTTACCTGTTTACCTAGGAGGAAAATTAGGCTCAGAAAAATTATTTAACTTGTTTGAGTTTACACTGAAAGATAAGTGAACCAAGATTTGAATCTGGCATTTTGTTTTTAAAGCCTAAATGATTAGCTGTCACCTTATATGGCCTCTCTGATTTTTGCTCTTTCTGATGTTTCTGCCCTCTCATCTATTCTGTCTTCTATTCAGTCATGCATCATATAAATTCATCTCTGGGTGGGGATAGGTATCTATGTGTGTTAGTGTGTGTGTATGTATTTAATAATAAAAATTTATAAAGCATTACATATTTTTCAGAACAACCCTATTGCACTGTTTCTAACTGCCAACTTGAAGCAAATGTTGCATTCCTGAGACTAGTCTGTTCCCATTCACAACCTTTGTTTCTGTGTTAGGACCAGTCTGCCCCAAGGTTTCTGCTTAATACTCTCTATGCCTTCCCCCAAATGGATGTAGCCCCAAGGCTGAAGATTCTTAAGAGAATACTAATTTGATTCTTCAGCTCTTTGCCAGGAATTGGGGCCAGCTTCTTCTTCCTGCAACAGTTCTGATTCTGGTTCCATTTTATTGGTGCTGGCTCTAGGCAGCTCATGCCAGGTGCTAGCTGTGGCTCCCAAGCCTTTACTACAGCCTTTAGCTAGTTTCAACCCCATAGTAACCCTATGAAGTAATTATTATTCTCACAATCTAACAATATTAACATTAAGACTGAGTGTAATTGATTAGTATGTCCAGCATTACACAGCAGAGCTGTCGTTAAACCTTAGATTTTTCAGATTTATTGTAATGCAGTTAATAGAGTACCTGGCACATAAAAATGACTCATTACTTTTTTCTTTCCTTCTTTTTTTTCTCTTCTTCCCTCTTTCATCCTTCCCTCCTTTTCTCTCTTCTCTTTTCTTTCCTTTTCCTTCCCCTCCTCCCTCTTTGGATCAAATCTAGAGCCTTAAGCATCCTAGGCAAGCACTCTACCACTAAGCAACCCTCCCCAGGCTTTCTTGTACCATTTTGACTAGGCATGCTGTTTAAGTGTATGAGGAGATAACTTCAGTGTAATTATAGATTGATAGGAAACATTTTGAATTTTGTAAGGGAAAAGGTATGAGATTATCTGAGAGTATTTTAGAATTAAAGATGAATTTCTATTTTATAGATTTGTTTTATTTTTGAAGATGGAGTAGAATATAGGAGATTTTTAGAAAACTATTTTGGCACTTGGTTGTTCCCCCCCCCCCAACACTATTTTCAAGAAAGTTAAAATATTAAAGCTAGTGGGAAAAAAGGCCTTATTGAAGTCTTGGGCAAGTGCTGCTGTAAGTGGGAGAGGTCTTTAGAGGAATTTCAGGAATGGTGTTGGAAATATCCTTAGAATGCCAAATATAAACTCTTCAGGGAAGCTGAGTTGTAAGTAGTTTTTCTACCTTAAAATATTACTAGTTAGTTTTCTGAGTCAGGGAGGGAAAAGGGGAACTTTCTTTACAAGGTGAAGTGCAGTGTTATTTCCTATGAGTTAGATTTTCATTGAAAAGGAAAAAGGAGAAAAATAAGAATTTTTCCTGTGGGCATCAGCATGACCCACATAATCTAACGCTTGCTGTCTTTACCTGACACAGCATGGCCATCTGGGATTTCCTGCTTTGGTCTTTCTTTCATTTGGTCTTTTCATGGTTCCCCTGAGGTGGTTCAGGAATGTTTCCTAAGAATAAGGAGTCCCTGGATAGCAGAGCATATACTCCCGTTCTCCCTCTCCCCATCCCACTATGAATCAGCCTCCTTATATCAAAGAAAACACTTGGCATTTGGTTTTTGGGGATTGGCTAACTTCACTTAGCATTATCTTCTCTAACTCCATCCATTTACCTACAAATGCCATGATTTTATTCTCTTTTATTGCTGAGTAATGTTCCATTGTGTATATAGTCTAATTGGAATTTCTAAAAAAAAAAAAGCTATCTTTTATTCTTTGAGTTCT